CTTTTACAAACTTCTACAAATAATTGTTATTCTAAATATTCTATCAACTCTTTACGACTCATGTTTGAAGAGACGACAACCTGTGGAACTTCAAAATGCCGATTATTATAAAGTGAATCCTCAACAGCCAGGTAAACAGTTTAGTATTACCTAATGCATTATATTCTTGTTATTTTGTAAGTCATAACAAGTTTTTTCATGGCCTATTGGTGTAGACTAGTCTATTGACTAATCTAATCTATAAACTATTCTTTGGACTAGTCAATGTACTGTCCATTGGATTAGTCTTTAGACTAGTCTATGGAACCAGTTTATTGAATAGTCTATGAACTAGTCTATGGACTAATCTATGACTAGTCCAAAGACTAGTCTATGGACTAGTCTTTGGACTAGTCTATGGACTAATCTTTGGACTAGTCTATGGATTAATATTGGGACTAGTCTTTGGTCCCAATGTCTGGTCTATCATTAGACTAGTCTATGGTCCATTCTATTGAATAGACAACTGACCAGTCTATTGACTAATGTATGGACTAGTCTATAGACTAATCTATGGACTGGTCTATGGACTAGTCTATGAACTAGTCTTTGAACTAGTCTATGGACTAGTCTATAGACTAGTCTTTGAACCAATGTCTGGACTATCATTGGAGTAGTCTATGGTCCGGTCTATTGAATAGACAACAGACCAATCTATTGACTATATATGTATGGTCTATTCTATTAATTAATATTTAGACTAGTTATGGACCAGTCTTTTGAACAGTTTATGAACTAGTCTATGGACTAATCTATGAACTAGTCTATGGACTAATATATGGACTAGTCTATGGACTAGTCTACGGACTAGTCTTTGGTCTAGTTATAGACTAGTCTAAGAACTAGTCTATTTACTAGTCTTTGTTCTAGTCTTCGGATTTGATGTACTATACATCCTCCTATCAACTTAACCTAATCTAGTCTATAGACTAGTATAAGAACTAGTCTATGGACTAGACTTTGGACTAGTCTATATACTATCATTGAACTAGACTATGGACCAGTCTATTGAAGAGATTATTGATCAGTCTTTGAGTCTTTAGTCTATGAACTAGTCTATTGACTAAACTACTGACTAGACCACTGACTAGTCTATGGATTAGTCTATTGACTGGTCTATAGACAAGTCTATTCACTATTCTATGGACGAGTCTATTGACTAGTTTATTGACAAGAATAAGGACAAGTATTCGAACTAGTTTACAGACTTGTCCCTGGACTAGTATATGGACTAGTCTATGGACTAATGTATGGACTTGTATATGGACTAGTCTAGTTATAGAATAGATTATTGACTATTCTATGAACTAATATATTAACTAGTCTATGGACTCGTATAAACTAATCAGTAGACTACTTGCTTAACTCTAGTCCGGATACTGTCACCAGAAGTATTTATAGGCACATTACAATTAGAATTGACAATACTAATTTTAATAAATAACTTGCATTAATTAATCTAATAAGTTATTTGCACTCTTAACACTATATAGTTACATACATATAGTTTAACATGATTTATAAATATTATAATTTCTTTTTATTTCAGTCTCTACCCTTTTAACAGCATTCTCCATACGTCGCAACTACTATCGTCTCGTTGAACCCTCTACTAGTCAATTGGGCATGGATCTTAGTTATTTAGATGGAATACGTTCAGTATGTGTTATTTTAATAATTGCCGGCCCATGCGTATTTCATACAATATCATCATGTGAAAAATTCGGAAATTTTTGAAGAATTTGCCAAAAGTCCTATACATTTATGGCTAACGAATGGTACAATACTATTAGAGATTTTTTCATATTCTAAGCGGTATGATGTTGTATCTTAAATTTAAAGCATTTTTTAAAATCACTTCACACTCGAGCGTCCGATATTGTTTTAAAGGCTTTCGGTAAAGTGATGATGTTTCGTTTTATTAGGTGAGATTGTTAATTTTAATGCCGAAGATCCAAACTTAATTTTCTCCTTTTATTATTTAACAGATTTCTTCCCTCATTGGTCCTATTTATATTAGTAAATGCTACTTTCTTTACTCGTCTACAAGATGGTCCATTTTGGCGTCATTTAAGCGAACCGGCTCGCTTATTTAGTCGTGAGAAATGGTGGAAAAATTTGTTTATTATTGATAATATTTCGGAAAGTGTAAGTAGACTGATTTTGTGGACATTGTAGACATAATTGGCGTAATATTTCTTAATTTTTTTAAAATATTAGGGATTTGCTCATACCTGGTATTTAACAACCGATTGGCAAATATTCGCCTTTTATGTTTGTGTGCTGATCATAATAAGCAAGTAAGTTTTTTCTATTTCTTACTATTTGGACTAGTATATTGACAAGTCAAGGAATCAGACTATAGACTATAGTCTATACTAGTATATGGACTAGTCTATTGACTGGTCTATGGACTGCTCTTATTATCGACTAGTCTTTTGAACTAGTCCACTATCTATAGAATATTGATTAGATTTTTAATGGTATATTGACGGTTATATAGACTAGTCTATTGACTAGTCCATGGACTAATCTATGTATATGCACTAATCTATTGATTCGCATATGGATTAGTCTATTGGTATATAGACTGGTATATAGACTAATCCATAGACTAATCTATGTACTAGTGGCTGGTTTATTGACTGATATATGGACTAGTCTATTGACTGGTAGTTTAATGACCAGTCTATCTATGGACTAAGTAGTCCACATACAATAGTCCATAGATTAGTCCATGAACTAGTCTATATACTAGCTAATAAATCAGTCTATATACTAGCCAATAGACCAGTCCATATGCTAATTAACATAATAGTCCATATATTTATATATATAGACTAATCCATAGACTAGTTAATGTAGTAGTATAGACTAGTCCATAGAATAGAGAATATATTAGCTAATTCACTATTGAATCAACTAGTTGTCAGACTAGTCCACAAACAATTAACTATACTACCGATTAGTTAATAAATAATAGACTACTTAGTCCATAAATTATACAATCGCCAAGTCCCTAGATTATATAATCGTCTAGTCCATAGGTTAGACTATAGATTAGTTCATAGACTAGTCCGCAAACTAGCCAGTAGACTAGTTTATAGTGTAGTCTATAGCTGAGTCCATTAATTAGTCTATTGTCATAGTTATACTAGTCCATAGAATAGTCAATGAGACTATTTTCTTGTATGTTTATTGAATTCTATACTTTTCAAGATTCCAATTTCTTTTAATTTCAGATATCCACAGTACAAAAGAGTAGTTCTAACTTCCTTGGCAATTTTATCGGTTCTTATACCCTTTAGTATATGTTATTTCTACAAAACAGATCCATGTTTTCTAATATCACCAGAGTAAGTTCTCTCATTAAACATTCAAAACTATATTCTTTTGTTTTGCCATATATATTCCTTAGAAGTTTTCGCTTTATACATGTCAAAGATGAAGAAGCCTTTCACAAATTATATACACCATTCTATACGAATTTAGGCGGTTATTTATTTGGCATAATTTGCGGTGAATTTTATGAAAAATATTGTCATAATGTTGATTTTCACAAGCAATTATCTCGTATACCCAGCGAGATATTTGAATTTGCCTTTTGGTCTTGTATAGCTATAGGTGTATGGATCTGTTGGCTGGGAACGGTTGTTTATATTTTATGAACCATCTATATGGACGGCTCTGTATGCGGGTCTGAATCGTAATTTAATTGTGATAATTGTCTTTGGCGGATTAGTATTTTTGGGCATGTTTTGTAAATCATGTATGTAATTGAAACTCATAATTAATTTTTATTAAAATTGCATTTCTTTTTAGTATCAGTTTCGGAACTTCTTTGCCATTCAGCATTTCGTTTACTGGCCAGATTATCATTCCAATTATATTTATGGCATTTTTTCCATATTGCACTTACTAAATGGTCATAAACGTGAACCGATATTTGTTAATCACTTGCAGCATGTAATTTGTTTTTTTTTTTTTTTAATTATAGAGAATATCTTTTAAACTATTTTTTTAATTTTAAGGCGGTTAATACAATTGCTCTGATGGTGTTTTCTCTTGGTGTGAGCATTTATTGGTTACAATAGTTTTGAATATCCTTTACATAAAGTTGCCTATTATTGTGCACAAAAAAGGGAAGAGCCGGTAAGAGAAGGGGGAGGGAGAGGGACGAAGGGGAAGGGGGGGGGCAGAACAGAGAAAACGAGCGAAGCCCCAACAGCGGAGAGCCAGGAAAAGGGAAAAGCGCAAGAAGGGGGAAGGCAAAGAAGGGGGGGGAAGGGGAGGAGAGAAAAGAGAAGAAAGAGGAGAGGAAAGCAACGGGAAGGGGGGGAGGGAAGACAGGCGGCCAGGAGAAGGAGGGGAGGAGCGAGCGAGAGAGCGAGCGAGCGAGCAGCGAGCGAGCGAGCGCGAGCGAGCGAGCGAGCGAGCGAGCGAGCGAGCGAGCGAGCGAGCGAGCGAGCGAGCGAGCGAGCGAGCGAGCGAGCGAGCGAGCGAGCGAGCGAGAGCGAGCGAGCGAGCAGCGAGCGAGAGCGAGCGAGGAGCGAGCGAGCGAGCGAGCGAGCGAGAGAGCGAGCGAGCGAGCGAGCGAGCGAGCGAGCGAGCGAGCGAGCGAGCGAGCGAGCGAGCGAGCGAGCGAGCGAGCGAGCGAGCGAGCGAGGAGCGAGCGAGCGAGCGAGCGAGCGAGCGAGCGAGCGAGCGAGCGAGCGAGCGAGCGAGCGAGCGAGCGAGCGAGCGAGCGAGCGAGCGAGCGAGCGAGCGAGCGAGCGAGCGAGGAGCGAGCGAGCGAGCGAGCGAGCGAGCGAGCGAGCGAGCGAGCAGCGAGCGAGCGAGCGAGCGAGCGAGCGAGCGAGCGAGCGAGGAGCGAGCGAGCGAGCGAGCGAGCGAGCGAGCGAGCTAGCGAGCGAGCGAGCGAGCGAGCGAGCGAGCGAGCGAGGAGCGAGCGGAGCGAGCGAGCGCGAGCGAGCGAGCGAGCGAGCGAGCGAGCGGAGCGAGCGAGGAGCGAGCGAGCTAGCGAGCGAGCGAGCGAGCGAGCGAGCGAGCGAGCGAGCGAGCGAGCGGAGCGAGCGAGAGAGCGAGCGAGCGAGCGAGCGAGCGAGCGAGCGAGCGAGCGAGCGAGCGAGCGAGCGAGCGAGCGAGCGAGCGAGCGAGCGAGCGAGCGAGCGAGCGAGCGAGCGAGCGAGCGAGCGAGCGAGCGAGCGAGCGAGCGAGCGAGCGAGCGAGCGAGCGAGCGAGCGAGCGAGCGAGCGAGCGAGCGAGCGAGCGAGGCGAGGAGCGAGCGAGCGAGCGAGCGAGCTGAGCGAGCGAGGCTCGAGAGAGCGAGGAGCGAGCGAGCGAGGAGCGAGCGAGCGAGCGAGCGAGCGAGCGCGAGCGAGCGAGCGAGCGAGCGAGCGAGCGGAGCGAGCGAGCGAGGAGCGAGCGAGCGAGCGAGCGAGCGAGCGAGCGAGGCGAGCGAGCGAGCGAGCGAGCGAGCGAGCGAGCGAGGAGCGAGCGAGCGAGGCGAGCGAGCGAGCGAGCGAGCGAGCGAGCGAGGCGAGGCGAGCGAGCGAGCGAGCGATGCGAGCGAGCGAGCGAGCGAGGCGAGGAGCGAGCGAGCGAGCGAGCGAGCGAGCGATCGAGCGAGCGAGCGCGAGCGATCGAGCGAGCGAGCGAGCGAGCGTAGCGAGCGAGGAGCGAGCGAGCGAGCGAGCGAGCGATCGAGCGCGAGCGAGCGAGCGAGCGAGCGATCTATCTATCTTATCGATCTAGCTATCTAGCTATCATCTATCTATCGAGCAATCTATCTATCTATTCTAGCTATCTATCTGATCTATCTATCTATCTATCTATCTAGCTATCTATCTATCTATCTATCTATCTATCTATCATTTATCTAAATATTTTAATATTTGGCCCTAGACGCAAAAGGTATCACATACCAGAATGTTTTGAAATGTTTAGTACGCATATCCCTAGTAGGGTTCTATAGTTGAAACATAGGGTTCTATAGTTTCGACTTTTTGCATTTTATGAAAATTCGATTTTTCGACTTTTTTCATTTAATTAAAAGTCGACTTTTAGACTATAAGTATTTTATAAATAGTCGACTTTTCGACTTTTTCCGACTTTTCGACTTTTTTAGACTTTTCGACTTTTTTCGACATTTCGACTTTTTGATTTTTTTCGACTTTTTTCGATTATTTTTTGACTTTTTTCGAGTTTTTTCCGACTATTTTAGAGTTTTTGACTTTTTTCCACTTTTTTAAAATTTCCGACTATTTTTGACTTTTTTCTACAATTTTCGAGTTTTCGACTTTTTCCGACTTTTTTCGACTTTCAGACTTTTCGACTTTTATTAACAAAGTCGACTTTTCGACTTTTTTCACAGACGATAGGCGAGTTATCGACTTTTTTGGAACAAAATAGTCGACGTCGACTTTTCGACTTTTTTCGACAAAAAGTCGATTGTTCGATTATTCGAAAGTCGATTTATAGAACCCTAATCCCTAGAGGTAAGAGAATTGAACGTTTTCATTAGTATTAGTATTAAGAGAACAAATATTGTTTATAACCACAAGTACGTATTTATTTCTTAAATTGTACAAAATTAATAAATAAAAATTATCGAAGTCAAAACCAGTTTATTTTGATCATAATTATATTTAACCAGTAGGGTTTTTGATAACGATAATGGAAAAGTTATATATTTTTTTTTTTAATTTTCAAATCTCAAGGAATTAGTAACACATCGAATTTTAAGCCTATAAATACACTCAATATATACTGGAACGATATTGCTATGTCCATACATCTGTCCCTAGGTATGTTTTATAACGCCACTAAGGGCATCAGATATGTATGTATTTGAATAATAATTTTGTAAGAATTTTATAAATAATATTTCAAAGTTTTAATGAAATATATTGCAAATTGAACTTTCTAAACTGGCCAGAATAAACGAGATAATTAGACAACAAATTTAAATAATATTGTAAAAAAATAAACAAAAATTTATGAGTGACGTTTTTTCGAATACAGGTTATATATTGTTAAAATTATTATTATTTTATGAAATAATTAATTAAACTTAATCTCATTACAGATTCTTGGCATTTTATTGCTTTTAAATTAAATTATAATTGTTAAAACCAAATTTTAAATTAGTATAATTTTGTAACTCAACCGAAAACGTTTTAAGCTATTCCGAAATAAGGAGCAAAAGCAAAATAATTAAAAAATAAATAAATATAATGGAAAATTTTCGATTCTGTCGCGTAACATTTATAATAATTCTAATAATGTTAACAATAATAAATACAATTGAAAGTAAATATAATAATAATAATAATAATAATAATAAACTATTTAAAACATTAATCTAAAAATACAATAAAATTTTTTTATTACGTCATTTGAATCTGGGGAAATAGTGTCTTAGGCAAATCTACGAAATTTGAATTTTAGATAAAATCCATCTTACAACTTATTGTGCCCCTTAAAGAGGAAATTTATCAAGTTTTTAAGTTCCAAATTTTGTTACGCAATTTGTATCCTTTGTATTTTACACTACTTTAATTAAATTTTTATATTTTTGACTTTACATTACGACATTTTAAAAACATACGTAATTGCTGTAAAAATAAAAATTTAATTTAAACAAAAATATTTAAAATCTATACTACGATTTATAAAATGACGCACAAAGCAAATTGGCGCCAAAATCATTTAATTGACAACAGAATCAAATATGAAATATATATCAAAATATATCAAAATATATATATATATATATATATATATATATATATATATATATATATATATATATATATATATATATATATATATATATATATATATATATATATATATCAAAAACATATTCGTGTAGAATTTTATCTCGATAGCATTATTAATTTATGAGTTATTTAAGTGATTTTCAGAAGTGGGCTTTATATGGGAAATATGACCAATCATGGGCCGATTTGTTTATATAGAAAACATATTCGTGAAGAATTTTATCCCGATATTATTATTAGTTCATGAGTTACTTGCGATTTAGTGATTTTCGAAGGTTATATATATATATATATATATATATATATATATATATATATATATATATATATATATATATATATATATATATATCAAAAACGTATTCGTGTAGAATTTTATCTCGATAGCATTATTAATTTATGAGTTATTTAAGTGATTTTCAGAAGTGGGCTTTATATGGGAGATATGACCAATCATGGGCCGATCTATAAAAAATGTCCCTTAATGATTTGTTTATATAGAAAACATATTCGTGAAGAATTTTATCCCGATATTATTATTAGTTCATGAGTTACTTGCGATTTAGTGATTTTCGAAGGTTGACTTTATATGGGAGCTGTGGTCAATTATCTACCGATCCAAAAAAACTGGAAATGAGACTATAAACAAGACTTTAATCTAGTCTATAGTCTAGTATATAGTCTAGTCTATAGTCTAGTCTACAGTCTAGTCTACAGTCTAGTCTATAGTCTAGTCTATAGTCTAGTCTATAGTGTAGTCTATAGTCTAGTCTATAGTCTAGTCTATAGTCTAGTCTTTAGTCTAGTCTTTAGTCTAGTCTATAGTCTAGTCTATAGTCTAGTCTATAGTCTAGTCTATAGTCTAGTCTACAGTCTAGTCTACAGTCTAGTCTGCAGTCTAGTCTACAGTCTAGTCTACAGTCTAGTCTATAGTCTAGTCTACAGTCTAGTCTATAGTCTAGTCTATAGTTAGTCTATAGTCTAGTCTATAGTCTAGTCTATAGTCTAGTCTATAGTCTAGTCTATAGTCTAGTCTATAGTTAGTCTATAGTCTAGTCTATAGTCTAGTCTATAGTCTAGTCTATAGTCTAGTCTATAGTCTAGTCTATAGTCTAGTCTATAGTCTAGTCTATAGTCTAGTCTATAGTCTAGTCTATAGTCTAGTCTATAGTCTAGTCTATAGTCTAGTCTATAGTCTAGTCTATAGTCTAGTCTATAGTCTAGTCTATAGTCTAGTCTATAGTCTAGTCTATAGTCTAGTCTATAGTCTAGTCTATAGTCTAGTCTAGTCTATAGTCTAGTCTATAGTCTATAGTCAGTCTGTAGTCTAGTCTATAGTCTAGTCTATAGTCTAGTCTATAGTCTAGTCTATAGTCTAGTCTATAGTCTATCTATAGTCTAGTCTATAGTCTAGTCTATAGTCTAGTCTATAGTCTAGTCTATAGTCTAGTCTATAGTCTAGTCTATAGTCTAGTCTATAGTCTAGTCTATAGTCTAGTCTATAGTCTAGTCTATAGTCTAGTCTATAGTCTAGTCTATAGTCTAGTCTATAGTCTATCTAGTCTCTAGTCTATAGTCTAGTCTATAGTCTAGTCTATAGTCTAGTCTATAGTCTAGTCTATAGTCTAGTCTATAGTCTGTCTATAGTCTAGTCTATAGTCTAGTCTATAGTCTAGTCTATAGTCTAGTCTATAGTCTAGTCTATAGTCTAGTCTATAGTCTAGTCTATAGTCTAGTCTATAGTCTAGTCTATAGTCCTAGTCCTATAGTCTAGTCTATAGTCTAGTCTATAGTCTAGTCTATAGTCTAGTCTATAGTCTAGTCTATGTCTAGTGCTATAGTCTAGTCTATAGTCTAGTCTATAGTCTAGTCTATAGTCTAGTCTATAGTCTAGTCTATAGTCTAGTCTATAGTCTAGTCTATAGTCTAGTCTATAGTCTAGTCGTCTATAGTCTAGTCTATAGTCTAGTCTATAGTCTAGTCTATAGTCTAGTCTATAGTCTAGTCTATAGTCTAGTCTATATGTCTAAGTCTAGTCTATAGTCTAGTCTATAGTCTAGTCTATAGTCTAGTCTATAGTCTAGTCTATAGTCTAGTCTAATGTCTAGTCTATAGTCTAGTCTCTAGTAGTCGTCTATAGTCTAGTCTATAGTCTAGTCTATAGTCTAGTCTATAGTCTAGTCTATCCTAGTCTATAAGTCGAGTCTATAGTCTAGTCTATAGTCTAGTCTATAGTCTAGTCTATAGTCTAGTCTATAGTCTAGTCTATAGTCTAAACAATAATTCCAAAAATTTCTTAAATAAACATCATTTTTTCAGCCAAATCCTTAAATACATTTCCACCTCTATATAATTTTGATGATTATGATGCCTGTCTCAAGGGTAAAACTTCAGGATTTGAATCCACCTACTGTATGGTTTATGCCGAAATACGACCACAAAATTCTTCCGAATTATGGAGACAAATTTCTCAACACACTGATGAATATAAATTTCATTTTAGACGTGATCGTCTATTTTTTGGAGTTTGTATGGAACGTTTGTAAAAATTTGATGCTGGATAATAATTACCAATATAATGATAGTAGATTGGCAAATAAGGTAAGTGGAATTAAATTAATAATAATAATTAAAAAATGTTATTGTTTTTTTTTTTAATATTTATAGATTGAATAATTATATAATTTAATTGCATAGATTTCTTAATACGCAATACAGCAAAGAAATTCAACATAAACAAGTTTTATGAAAATATAATTTTTACATATAAAATGTTTTAAACTTTAGTTTTATAAAATGAGTCCTAGTTATAAAGTCCTAACACTTAAATACACTTTACACTCACAGTTCCACACTTCTAACACTTCAATTATATCACGATCAAAACTTTAAACAATGTGATAATAACAGCTCATAACTATAGCTTTATATACCAACTAATTTAGAAGCGTTTAATTTGAGAAGGATCCTCTGTTTGGTTTGGGTCATTGCTAATAATATTTGTGGTTTTGCTTATGTAGTGAATTTAGGAACTATATATTTATACATAAACCACTGTAATAATATAATACCTTTTTTCCCAGATTACCCAATTTTTCGATGTGATCCATAAACGACCGCTTGATCTACAAATGCGCTCTGAATACCATGAATTAGTTCATAACTGCTTAAATTCAGATTTTCAAGAGAAATATGGATTAGACCTAAGAATCTACATTGAGTATTGTGAGAGATCTGAGGAAACCCTTGAAAAAGGTATTTGTAATAATTGTTAAAATTTTGTTTACATAAATACATTTCATGAGATGTAGCTTTAGATCCTAAATGTTTTTTTACTAAATATAACTCCGATTTCTATAACATTCTTCTTCTAGATATGGTGGAGAAAGTCCTTTACAAATTTCTACAAATAATTATAATTCTTAATATTTTATCTACTCTCTACGACTCACGTTTAAAAAAACAACAACCTGCGGATTTTCAAAATGACGATTATTATAAAGTGAATCCTCAACAGTCAGGTAACGGTTCAAAAACTACTAACTAACTACTAACTAACTAACTAACTAACTAACTAACTAACTAACTACTAAACTAACTAACTAACTAACTAACTAACTACTAACTACTAACTAACTACTAACTAACTAACTAACTAACTACTAACTAACTAACTAACTACTAACTAACTAACTCTAACTAACTAACTAACTATAACTAACTAACTAACTAACTAACTAACTAACTAACTACTAACTAACTACCTAACTAACTACTAACTACTAACTAAAATACTAACTAACTACTAACTAAACTACTAACTAACTAACTAACTAACTAACTAACTACTAACTAACTAACTAACTAACTACTAACTAACTAACTAACTAACTAACTAACTAACTAACTACCTAACTAACTACTAACTAACTAACTAACTAACTACTAACTAACTAACTAACTAACTAACTAACTAACTACTAACTAACTACTAACAACTAACTAACTAACTAACTAACTACTAACTAACTAACTAACTAACTAACTAACTACTAACTAACTAACTAACTAACTACTAACTAACTAACTAACTAACTAACTAACTAACTAACTAACTAACTAACTAACTAACTAACTAACTAACTAACTAACTAACTAACTAACTAACTAACTAACTAACTACTAACTAACTAACTAACTACTAACTAACTAACTAACTAACTAACTACTAACTAACTAACTAACTAACTAACTAACTACTAACTAACTACTAACTAACTAACTAACTAACTACTAACTAACTAACTAACTAACTAACTAACTAACTAACTAACTAACTAACTAACTAACTAACTAACTACTACTAACTAACTACTAACTAACTAACTAACTAACTAACTAACTAACTAACTAACTAACTAACTAACTAACTAACTACTAACTAACTAAATAACTACCTAACTAACTACTAACTAACTAACTAACTAACTAACTAACTAACTAACTAACTAACTAACTAACTAACTAACTAACTAACTACTACTAACTAACTAACTAACTAACTAACTAACTAACTAACTACACTACTAACTAACTAACTAACTACTAACTAACTAACTACTACTAACTAACTAACTAACTAACTAACTACTAACTAACGACTAACTACTAACTAACTACTACTAACTACCTAACTAACTAACTAACAACTACTAACTAACTAACTAACTAACTAACTAACTAACTAACTAACTAACTAACTAACTAACTAACTAACTACTACTAACTAACTAACTAACTAACTACTAACTAACTAACTACTAACTAACTAACTAACTAACTAACTAACTAACTAACTAACTAACTAACTACTAACTTAACTAACTAACTAACTAACTAACTAACTAACTAACTAACAACTAACTAACTAACTAACTAACTAACTAACTAACTAACTAACTAACTAACTAACTAACTAACTAACTAACTAACTAACTAACTAACTAACTAACTAACTAACTAACTAACTAACTAACTAACTAACTAACTAACTAACTACTAACTAACTAACTAACTAACTAACTAACTAACTAACTAACTAACTAACTAACTAACTAACTAACTAACTAACTAACTAACTAACTAACTAACTAACTAACTAACTAACTAACTAACTAACTAACTAACTAACTAACTAACTAACTAACTAACTAACTAACTAACTAACTAACTAACTAACTAACTACTAACTAACTAACTAACTAACTAACTAACTAACTAACTAACTAACTAACTAACTAACTAACTAACTAACTAACTAACTAACTACTAACTAACTAACTAACTAACTAACTAACCTAACTAACTAACTAACTAACTAACTAACTAACTAACTAACTAACTAACTAACTAACTAACTAACTACTAACTAACTAACTAACTAACTAACTAACTAACTAACTAACTAACTAACTAACTAACTACTAACTAACTAACTAACTAACTAACTACTAACTAACGACTAACTAACTAACTAACTACTAACTAACTAACTAACTAACTAACTAACTACTAACTACTACTAACTAACTAACTAACTAACTAACTAACTAACTACTAACTAACTAACTAACTAACTAACTAACTAACTAACTAACTAACTAACTAACTAACTACTAACTAACTAACTAACTAACTACTAAACTAACTAACTAACTAACTAACTAACTAACTAACTAACTAACTAACTAACTAACTAACTAACTAACTAACTAACTAACTAAACTAACTAACTAACTAACTAACTAACTAAACTAACTAACTAACTAACTAACTAACTAACTAACTAACTAACTAACTAACTAACTAACTAACTAACTAACTAACTAACTAACTAACTACTAACTAACTAACTAACTAACTAACTAACTAACTAACTAACTAACTAACTAACTACTAACATAACTAACTAACTAACTAACTAACTAACTAACTAACTAACTAACTAACTAACTAACTAACTAAACTAACTAACTAACTAACTAACTAACTAACTAACTAACTAACCTAACTAACTAACTAACTAACTACGACTAACTAAATAACTAACTAACTAACTAACTACTAACTAACTAACTAAACTAACTAACTAACTAACTAACTAACTACAAACTAACTAACTAACTAACTAAATAACTAACTAACTACTACTAACTAACTAACTAACTAACAACTAACTAACTAACTAACTACTAACTAACTAACTAACTAACTACTAACTAACTAAATACTAACTAACTACTAACTAACTAACTAACTAACTAACTAACTAACTAAACTAACTAACTACTAACTAACTAATAACTAACTACTAACTAACTACGAACTAACTAACTAACTAACTAACTACTAATACTACTAAACTAAACTAACGACTACCTAACTAACTAACTAAATAACTACTAACTAACTAACGAACTAACTAACTAACTACTAACTAACTAACTAACTACTAACTAACTAACTAACTAACTACTAACTAACTAACTAACTACTAACTAACTACTAACTAACTAACTAACTAACTACCTACTAACTACTAGCAACTAACTAACTAACTAACTAACTAACTAACTAACTAGCTAACTAACTAACTAACTAACTAACTAACTAACTAACTAACTAACTACTAACTAACTAAACTAACTAACTACCTAACTAACTACCTAACTACTACTAACTAACTAACTAACTACTAACAACTAACTAACTACTACTAACTACTAACAACTAACTAACTAACACTAACTAACTAACTAACTACTAACTAACTAACTAACTAAACTACCTAACTACTACTAACTAACTAACTAACTAACTAACTAACTAACTACTAACACCTACTAACTAACTAACTAACTAACTACTAACTAACAACTAACTAACTACTAACTAACTAACTACTAACTACTAACTACTAACTAACTAACTAGCTAACTAACTAACTAACTAACTAACTAACTAACTAACTACTACTAACTAACTAACTAACTAACTAACTACTAACTAACTAACTAACTAACTAACTAACTAACTACTAACTAACTAACTAACTAACTAACTAACTAACTAACTAACTACTAACTACTAACTACCTACTAACTAACTAACTAACTAC